CTGTCTCTAAGTTGTTTGCCACCATGTGTCAGTGGGGCTTCTGGTCTCCTGGGCTACTCTTCGGGCTCTGTTTCTTTCGGTGATCTTGCGATTTACCTCGTCAGGTAGGTCCTGAACCTGTTTGGTTGCGTTATGTTCCACGGTGGTTGCGGCTTCTAACGCAGCCTTAATCTTCCTTTCTAGGTCCGTGACCGCTCTTCTATGCTTTCGGGGCTTTCGATCTGTAGTAGTGGTCCTTGTGAATAGTGCAGTCTGGTTCTAACCGCTGCCAATTCACTCTCTTCATTGTTCTTTGTTCCACAGGTGTTATTCCATCTCCCGTACAGAGAAAGATGGGGTTGTGGTCTGAGCTTCCCTCTTGCATGGCGCCGATGGTGGTGCGCATGCGCTTTCCTTCAGAATCGCCATATCTATGACGTCTGGTCTACCTCCGTTGCTGGGGTATATTGTAGGTTCGTCCGGACCTATCATGGTATATCCAGGTTCATCCATTAGTCTTTCCAGAACAGCGCCGTGACTGTTTCTGTTTTCTTGAGCCCCAAATGGTGGACTTCGCGTTTAGATCACCTACGATCACGGTACTGTTTCCCAGTGCAGTGATACAGGTGACATCTTCCAGATTACGGACTTCTTCTATACATATATATATATATCTATTATATCTATATATATATATATATATATATATAGAGAGAGAGAGCGAGAGAGAGAGAGCGAGAGGAAGAGAGAGGAGATAGATGAAAAGTTAAAATAACGACCACAGCTAATTATCATTTTGCATTTTATCATAACATAGTGGTTCTGAAAAGAACCGTTTTTTTTTTGTTCTTATTTTTCGAACCGTATAACCGTCGAAGCGAATACAACGTCTATATTATTTTGAACTGGTGTATGGTGACGGCTTTGGTACCTTCGCTGACTGCGTGCTTGGCCAATTCTCCCGGTAGCAATAGTCGTACGGCTGTCTGAATTTCTCTGCTAGTATCGTGGCACGTTTGTTGTAATGTGCCAATCTGGAAGCTTCCGCAGCGATACGTTCGAAAATATCGTTGACGAAGCTGTTCATGATGCTCATCGCTTTGCTGGATATACCCGTATCGGGATGTACCTGCTTCAGACTTTGTAGATGTAAATTGCGTAACTTTCCTTCCTCCTGCGCTTCTTTTCTTGTCAGATTTTGAGATATTCTTCTGCGCCTTGCCCGCTTTTTTGGCAGCCTTACCGCTAGTTTTGGGTGGCATTTTATTGTGAGATGATGCTGAGTATAATCGACACCAACGCTCGACTAACGAACGACTGGAACAGGAACACAAAGTTCCTAGCGAACCCACCACCTCCCGGTCCAGGTACCCTCACTCTTTCCGGCCCCAGTGGCGGTACGTGGACTGGACGCTCCTGCAACTTGTGTTCCTGTCGGACGCAAACCCCACCCCCACCCAATTTTGCCCTTTAAATTTTCGCGCTTTTCCCCCCCTCGGAATTTTGCCCCGCCGAAAGGTGTGGTAAGCTAATCACGCCGCGGAAGCACGGCTGCAGAACGGAAGTGGTCATTTCTACTCGTGTACCTTTCTCCGGTTTACGAGTCGTCCTCTATTTGGGGTTCCATCGGTGGGACCTTGACCTGAGGTCCGCATTAAGGTTCCCAAGACGGCTTTTGGGTTCTTCGGTTTTTTGATTTTCTTTCTTGAGTGTTGCCTCCTGACCACGCCGACAAATGCCGAAGTCGTCAGAAGGCCCGCTTGTTAGTGCCATCTAAATGCCCCGCACCTCAAATGAGATCGTGCATTCAGCATGGCAAATCTTCGCCGTCTGACCACCGGTACTGCACAGGACTTTGCCTATCTTGCATGCAGTACCTTCCTCGCGAGGTTCTACCCCTCTTCTTAGGACTCATCAGCTGCTGTGTCCCATATCTTCTAGCAGCTGGCTCTTCGTCTTTTGTGCCTATGTATGAACCTTGGATCGTAGTCCAAGGCGGCCTTGATGAGCTGGTTCTCGTGTTCTTCGGCGTTGTTGAAGAACTTCCGAGCTCTGGTCTTCATCACTTCGCGCACTGGCACTTGTCTCAGGTCTTCGTATAGCACTCGGTTTGGCACGTACCACGGTGCGTTGACCGCTTCTCGGAGTGCTATGTTGTGTTGTGCTTGGAGCTTCTTCTTCCACGTCTTGGCTGCGTAGCCCCAAGCAACTGACGCGTAGGTCATAATCGGTAGGAGCACCATCTTGATCAGCAGCATTTTGTTGTTCAGGGAGAGCTTGCTCCTTCTTCCAAGCATCGGTCTTAGCTTGGCTCTTGCCATCTTGGCTTTCTGCACTTGGGCTTCTATATGGTGTTTCCAGGTGAGACCCTTATCTATCTTGACGCCGAGGTACTTGCTGGTGTCTGTCCACTGTACCTCTTTTTCTTCGTCACGCACCAGGCCTCTCAGCACTTCTGTGGTTGTCATCTTGAGGTTGCCTTCAGGGTCTTGCGGCTCTTCCTGAGGAGCATCGCCTCGGTCTTATGGCTTTAGCTGGATCCTCCATTTCTGCACCTTCCTGTAGACTGGTTGTCGCTCTTTGTAGGTAAGTCGTAGCCATGCGGGGCTGAAATGACTCGGCTACGTACGCAGTGTCGTCCGCATACATCAGCAGCTGCGTATTTGGGGTCTTCGGAACGTCGGAGCTGTAGATGGCGTATAGTAGAGGGGATAGGACCGCTCCCTGCGGTACCCCAGCCTCTGCAGTTCTGGTCGTCGAGGTGGTGTTTCCCAGTCTAACCCGGAATCTTCGGTTCTTCAGATATGACTTCACCAGCTGAATCATCCCTGTCGAGTATCCCTTGTCTTGCATCTTATAGATGAGTCCGTCGTGCCAGACGGTGTCAAATGCCTTCGCGACATCCATGAACACCGCCCCCGCGACTCGCCGAGCCTGGAACGCACGCGTCCCACACTCCACGAGCCGAAGCAGCTGGTGCTCTGATGAATGGCCGCTCCGGAATCCGAACTGTTCGTCTGGCAGTACTCTAAGGTCCTCGGTTTGTTGTCTAAGTCTTCGCTCGATTGCCTTTCTGCAACTTTACTCAAGGAAGTTAGTAAGCTGATTGGCCGGTAGTTTTGTGGGAATTTTGGGTCTTTCCCAGGCTTCGGGATGTTTATTACTTCCGCGATCTTCCATCTGTCCGGGAAGTATCGGTGCCTCAGCATAGCGTTCACGATGTTGGTTATGGCCACCATGCCCTTTCTCGGGAGCCTCTTCAGGATTCTGTTCCCTATTCGGTCGCAGCCCGCTGCTTTTCTGGTCTTTAGAGTTGATGATGTCCCTGATTTCCGTCGGGGAGGTGGCTTGCTGCACCATTTCTCCTCCTCTCGTAGCTCTTCTGGATCTTCTTTCCACTTCTTCTACGAAGTCTTCGTCCTCATCTGGGTGCATGTATGTCGTACACTGCCGTTGTAAGTTATCTGCGAATGCTTCGACCTTCTCGTCGTTCGTGTACGCGGTCCGTAGGCTCCTTGCAGCGGGGGAACTTGTTGTCTGCGATTTCTCAGGATCTTCGCTAGCTTCCACATTCCTGGCTCACCTGGTGTTAGTTCCTCTAATTTTCTTTGCCAGCTGCGTTGATGGTGCTCCTCAGGGCTTTTCTCATCTCTTCGGTCTCCTTTTTAGCTCTCGTTGTGTTCTGGGTCTCCTGTTCGTTGAGCTAGTCTTCTTGCCCTGTTTCTCTCGGTGATCTTCTGGTTCACCTGGGGGTAGGTCTCTGAACCTGTTGGGCAGCGTGATGTCTTCTACCGTGGTAGTAGCATCTAGCGCGTCCTGGATCTTCCGTTCTAGGCCCTGAACTGCTTCCTCTATGCCTTCAGGAGTCTCTATCTGAGGTAGTGGGCCGAGTGAGTAGTGAAAGGTTCGCCGGAACCGGTCCCAGTTCACTCTTCTGGCTATCCTCTTCTCCACGTTTGGTGCTCCCTCTCCTATTTCCAGGATATGGGGTTGTGGTCAGAGCTTCCTTCTTGTGTAGAACACCAATGTTGCAAGACACGTCTACCTTTTTCAAGATAGCAATGTCTATTACATCAGGCCTTGTACCGTTGTCTGGGTACAGCGTGGGTTCGTCAGGTCCTAGTAGGAGTACTCCGGTTCATCCTCAGCCTCGCAAGGATTTCGCCATGTCTGTTGTTCGTGCGCGAGCCCCAGATCCTAGATTTGGCGTTCAGATCTCCTATGATGACAATGCTCTCGCCCATTCCGCTGATTTGCGTGATGTCGTCCATATGCAGAGTCACCGTTGGTGGTATATATACCGAGATGATGTTCAGCGTGCCGTAGTCCTCCGTGTACACGGCTATTCCTACTGCTTCTGTAGTCCTCAGATCGGGGATTCCTAGCAGGTCGTGGCTGATGCTGCTCCTTACGGAGATCAGCACGCCTCCGCCTCTCTGGTCTCGTCCTTCCTGTACGTCGTGTACCCTGGGAAGGTCCAGTTTGGAACTCTGCTTGAGAGCATTGTCTCTTGTAACGCCATCACATCGTAGTCCCCTCGAGTTAGCAGTTCTCCTATCTCGTACTTCTTGTTGGAAGCACTATGTACGTTCCAACTCAATATCCGTAGGGTCCTAGATGTTGGCAGGCTGCCCATTTAGTTGGCGTTTCTTCTGTTCTTGCTTGTCATGAATGCCTCCTTGGCTTCGGGGGTATTCATGATGACTCTTCATTTGGGCCATGTGGGTTTCCATGAACCTCTTCAGTTCATCCCCGTCTTCTTCTTCCCGGTTTGTGGAGGGTCTTTCCTGCCTTCGGGGGGCCGTCTCGTTGCTTCTTGCAGCCCTTGCGTAGCTCTGTCCTGGTCTTACTGGGCTGGCTTCGTGATCTTCTTCTTCTCCTCCGCGGCGGGTTTGCTCTTTGGTTTTGAGCTCGGGCGTCTTGGGCATCCCCCGTAGTTCGCTGGGTGGCTCCCACCACAGTTGGCGCAGGTTGCCGCTCTTTCTTGTGGCACTTTGCACTCCGATGCGCGATGTGCCCTGCACATCTCACGCACTTCGGTGCCCCGGAGCAGTTCTGCTGGCTGTGCCCGAACTGCTGGCACCTGTAGCACTGGCCCGGTCCTTCTCTCTTCTTCTGTGCTTCGATTGTTACGCTCATCTGACAGCATTCTGTCAGATCGTAAATCCTCTTTTCTTCCTTTGGAAGATCCACCTTGACCAGCGGGATCTTCTTCCTGGTTCGCCTGCTGGTGAGTCTGTTGACTCTTCTTGGGTGGAATCCTTTAGATTCCAGGTCCTCTTTAACTTCGTCCTCCCCCGTCATCAGTGGCATGCCCCTGATGATAACTGACAGGGATTTTCGTCTGGCAGGGAGTATGTGTGGTGTTCCACCTTGTTCTCTTCGAGCGTCTTCCTTACGCTTCTGAATTCTTTCGGTCGTCAGTTGGACCTTTATGCCGGTCCTGGTGAGTTTTGCCGGCTTGTCGGCTGGGATCTTCTTTCCCTCTCTGTTTCCACTGGTCTTCCCTATGAATATATAGGGGTGGCGGCCTTCTTGTTTTAGGCTTGGGAGCTGGCTGGGCCTGCTCGGTGTCCATCCTGTCTTCGGTGGTTGACGGGGGGGGTGGGTGGTCTTCTCCTCCACTGTCTTCTTCTTTGGGAGCGGGGGGAAGGGGTCCACTGCCGCTTTCTTGGAGGCTGGTTTCTCGTCAACCTCCTCGGTCTTATCGGCCTTCCTCTTAGTCTTCTTTTTGGGATCGTCTATCTCAATCCCTTGTCTAGCGGCCAAGCTCGATGAGCTTGGCCGTCTTCTCGCGTCTTCGGCGCTTATCCTTCTCTCCTCCAGTAGCTGACGCGTCAGGTCCGCTAGCTGGCAGGATAGTTCCGCTATCTGCCTCTTGAGCTCGCGGTTTTCCTCTTCCATCCTGTTTGGTCGAGGTTCCTCTTCCTGGACCTCTTCCTCCTCTTCGCTGGACGAGGAATACGTGTTTTCGTCGTCCAGCATCTTGGTCATTATCTATGGTGTCGCGCTCGATCACCACCATCGACTCTTCCGAGTTCGATTCACTTCACTGCACTTTTACACAATTTCCAGTTGTGACCGCACTCTGGAAATTGTGTATCACTCTCGCACTGGTGCCTTCTCGGCTCGCTTCTGCACGATTCTCAGTCGCCGCACTCTGAGAAACGTGTACCACTCGCGCACTGGTGCCTTCTCGGCTCACTGCACTCCGGCTGTGGCTTCGTCGGCCCACTTTCACACAATTCTCATTTGTCGCCGC